TTTTCAAATTGAGCTTTATTGTATCACTAATTTCCTTCAGACCGCCGAATATTTCATTATTACTATTATTATTTCCATGGTCGGACTATCCCGGATTGATGTGGTCATACTCTACCAAAGTTACGGGAGAGATCGACCACCTTGTTAACCGAAGGAAAAATGATAAATGCCTACATTTTTGGGGTTATGTTATAGTTTGATGCATATTTTATCATCCAGTATTGAAACAGTTCCATTAAACTTACCCGTCTTTAAAATATCACGAACACAGTAAATCAGTCAAAAAATTATCAAGTTTGCACAAATTTTTGAATTTAATTTGTACATTTATACTACTGTTACGGAGCGTGTTTACGTGTTCCATGTAACAAGGTCAACTAATTGCATCATACATGTGAGTCACGGATTCATCTATTGCTTTGTGGTTAAGTTACCGGCAGTGGTCGGTCTCTCCCGGTGGTCGATCTCTACCGGAATTACCCTATAGAAAAATTACTAGAAGTAGCATAAAGGAAACGGTATTCAAGATTGCTTTGGATCTCCCTAGATTTCCCCAGAACTTCTTGAGTTGCCTCAGACCACCTACTACCAGGATAGAAAATCGTTTTTGTCCCAGCTAGCAGTTCCTTGCATTGCATTGCCTTGGATCTCGATGAGTTGCCTCTGGACCTCAGATTCCACCTTCCTCCTTGTCTACCTCCTCGATAAAAGCATCTCCTATGCAAGTTGCTATCAGGGGTCTAGCAGAGTAGGTATAAAAAACAAATCAGCCGAAATTTCTTCAAGTATCTTTTCCAGCCGATGTATTTCTCAAATTATCAGCAACCCTTTCTTGTCCTCAAGCGTGAAACCTACCTTAAATTCAAAATTGTGAGTATCCATGATGACGATTTTGTCTTCACGACTTTCGTCTTCACCCAAAATTTTGAATCTACTACGCTCCTGGCCAGGTGTAGAAATTGTCACCTCAACTTACATAATAACGTAGCTTATGACCAGCAGTGTAAACTGATGTGTTTAATTGGACGTGTATCCATTTAGCAGGGTCCAATTTATGTCCGCCACTTGGTTAATCCCCCTTCTGCTTCAACCTCCACCCCTTCTGGAACACGACAGCGCTGCCATGCATACATCAACCTCAACACACCGATAACGCTACCCCAAATTGGGGAATAGTTTTGGATTATATTGTTTCGCTAATACGGAGAACTTGCGCAGCAGTTTTAATAGCCTTAGAAGCTATTAACCAGCACGCCCATTGAGTAAAAGCAGCGCTACATTTGTCATTTGCACCTGTCAAACATAACACGTCGCTTCCTTTGCCTTGCTCTAGTGTGCGTGCTGTCACGTCTCTGCTCTTCGTTTCCCTTTTCCTTCATGGGAGTGCGCCTTTGGGGAGATAGGTAGATAATCCATATTTCTGCCTATACAGGATGTCCTGAAAGTTGGGACATTGATATTCAGAGTCAACTACATTGCAATATCAAAGCTAATTTGCGGTAAAACAACACCGAAATCGTAAAAAGTGATACTCACTATTCACTTGGTAAGGAATTTCAAGTACTGCCCTGTCGCACCTTTTTTTTTTGTAAACACTGTTTGAAGTTGTAGCTGTTCGATTCAAAATCATAAGTTTGTTTACCTCTTCCTAAATTGGCAACATTTGGGACTGTCTAGGTCTTGAACTGTATTCAACCTTTCCACGATATAAACAAACATATGCAGTTCTGATGGAATGATACACCTAGGACGGCAGCGACGTTCTGAGTACAATCGTATCAGTAGGATCTTTAAGATGCGCATATCAAAACTTTATTGCTCTAGGAATGTGCCAATTTCGGTGCAAGCCATTAAAGGTAGGTACTGCATGACCAACGATACCAGTCGTAATGTAATGCCGGCAGTACACGCTCGCCGAGGCTATCCGAGATGAGACGAGCGCGAGAGTGTACTTACTATTCCCGCCTCGCCCTAGACCCTCTCGCCTCGCCCTCGGAGCGCTCGGTGTAGAAGCGGTCTCCCAGTGCGAGTCAAAGGAACCGAGAGCGTAAGTGGGAAGTCTCGCGAGCGTGTGCCGAGGTCGCCCGAATATACCATTCGGGCGACCTCGGCACACGCTGGTCTCTTGTTGAACAGTGGAATTTGTGGCGTGATTAGGTTTCGTTTGCGGCTATATTGGTTGACATTGTTTATTTTTAAAATGGAGTGAACAAATGATTTTACTATCAAGTTTTTGGAATTTTATCAGAGCGAACCTTGTTTGTGGGATCCCTCTGATGAAAATCATAAAAGAAAGGAGAAATTAGCTGACGCCTGGAATCGAATCTCTGAATCTACAGGCAAATCTGTGGCAGAATTAAAGAAGAAAAAAGATTCTTTAGTGGCCACTTTCCGGGGTCACTTAAGGGTACGAACATAGTGGAGCGACGAGGTTTCAGATTCAGATAGAGGCTAACCGCGCGGTTTGCCGCTATGTGAGTCAAAAACACAGGTTGAAACCTGTCGGGCCATAGTAGCGCGATAAGGCATGCGTCGAGTCTCTAGGAGGTTTCGAGCGACGAGTTTTAAATAGTTGCATTCAATTTTTGTCACGCGTTTTCAAGCGATTTAATAATGGATGTTGTGCAATTAATAAATAGTGTATATCACAGAAGGGCTATATGGGATCAGAGTCATCCAGATCATCGCAACCGATACGTGCTAGATAAGTTATGGGAGGAGGTAGCCAATGAATGCAATAATCAGTCGGGTAAGTAAATAATTGTATTTTATACACATTTCAACAGCTAGAACTTACATCTTGCGGTAAAATTTTAAGCTGTCTCGTAACTGATTGGAAAGAAATTAACATAGTTACAGAAAATGTCGCGAACTCTTTGACCTTCACCCAGTTGCCTTCCTCTAGGTAATTCAAACATCTGATCTCTAGGAACTGCATCAGTTACTAATGTTAAATGTCGTTGAAATCCCTCTCGGTCCAGTATTGTATTATGCAAAATGCATATCGCCTTAATGATATCATCCGCAGTCTTTTCAGTAGTCTCTATAGCTTTGGACAGAAGACGCCACTTCGCGTACATAATTCCAAAGGTGCACTCGATAGTTTTGCGTGCTCTGGACAATCTTTGGTTAAAATTTATATGTTCCAAAGAGCGGTTCCTTCGATTGTATGGTTTTAGCAAATTGGGCATTAGTGGATACGCTTCATCTGCAATAAATACGTAGGGAGCGCGGACATTTGTTCCTGGTAAACTATCTGGATTTGGCACATTTAGTTTGTTTTGGTGTATCCGTTTGTACAAATTGGAACTCTGAAACGTTCCCCCATCGCTCTGTTTGCCGTAACCTCCGACATCTATCACAAGCAATTTGTAATTTGCGTCGCAAACTCCTTGTAGGACGATAGAAAAATAATGCTTATAATTGAAGTACATGGATCCGGAATGTTGTGGTGCTATAACTTTGACGTGTTTGCCGTCAACAGCTCCGATGCAATTGGGGAAGTTCCATACTTTCATGAAGTCTGCACTTACATTTAAAAATGTTGCCGTAGTAGGTTCTGGCATGTGAAGTGGTTGCAGCATGTTCCATAATATTTTAATCATATGTTTTATAATGCTCGCAACAGTACTCCTGCCCATTCGAAAGGAAAATGCCAAGTGTCTAAAGGACGCTCCTGTTGCAAGATATCTGAAAATTTTTGTTTGTTGCAGTTAAGAAAGTTTCTGAGAAGTGGAAAAATCTACGTGATTATTTCAGAAAAGAACTGAAGAAAATACCTCTGCCCCGGTCTGGTGATCCAGGCGAAGAGGCTCTTAAAAAGAGCTCCTGGCCTCATTTCAAAAGTTTATTGTTTCTGAGAGACCAGTTTCTGCCGAGATCCAGTCATAGCAACCTGTTGGATCCCGACAATGACACACAAGTTTCGACACCCTCTACGCAGATGGATGAAAATGATGGTGACTATGACGAAGACGAAATGGACGAAACGCAGGGTGTAGAAACGCAGGAAACAGAACCCGACCACACAGAATCAGTCACTCCAATTCAAAGCACACCAAAAGAACCACGAACTATTCTAAAGAATAGGGCCCGAAAACGGTCAAATCAACTTGACGCTTTTCTTGAGATAGAGAAGAAAAAACTACAATATTTAGATGAGAAACGTGTCGCTGCAGACCGTGGCAGAGCCCTACCAGTCACAGATGACGATAAACTGTTTTTTGATAGCCTTTTGCCCCACGTGGTGAAAATTAGGCCTCATCGAAAACTTCAGTTCCGCAATGAAATTCAAAATTTGGTTCAGAAGTATGCCTATGAAGAGTACTCGAACAATCAGTCCACCATCAATGTCAGTCATTCTGTTAATCATAGCCCGACATATACATCTCAACCACAAACATCGTTTGCACATTCATCCCATTTGTTGCAGGGGTTTAATTACGCAGATCAGTAAACATTATAAGTTATTATAAGTTATCGTTCGTTGTGTTCAGAAGACAGAATATTATTTTGCGTTACCGTTTGTTTGTTTATGAATAATAAAAGTATTATCCTTAATACATAATATTCTCTTACCGAATTGTTACCACCAACATTTCTTCGGTTCCTATAGGCGCTTGATTAAAATTTGTCCATTTCTTGTTGATGCAGGGTGTAACTTGTTCTAATATATACTGAAAGGTGGCAAGTTCCATTCGAATGTAGTCAAATAGCCTGTCGGGATAATTTTTCAGTTCTAGAAATAAATGATGGAATTCCCCTAGGCGTTTCCGACTTTTATTTACGTCGTGCACACTACACTGCCGCACTCCAGTCATTAAAAGCACTTGCAGGTAAGTATTATTGAGAAGAATGTCATCGTCACTGTCGGAATACATATTTTTACGTCTATCTTCGACAAAACGCGACGCTCTACTATAACCATAGGTGCCTCTTGCCTCTACGCTCTAGACGCTACCAGATATCTGAATCTGAAACCTCGTCGCTCCACTATGTTCGTACCGTAAGAAGGAAAAAGGCGTCCATTAGGAGCGGCGCTGGGGGCGATGATATTTACAAGCCTATATGGTTTGTATACAGCTTTATGGAAACTTTTCTTGGTCAAATATATGACTGCCACCCTACCATAAACAGTCAAGATACGGTAAGTACATTCAATAAAATAACTATTACTTATTACTTGCCATACAATATTTTATTTGTTTCTTAAATTCACAAAATATTCAGTGAAATTATCTCTAATCTTAGTCGCACTAATCGGTGATCGACGAGCAATATGTGGTACACATCGAATAGCACAGTTTTGAGGTACTTCTTGCCTCCAAGCCCCTTCAATAAAAACGCCGTTATCATATTTATCAAGAGTGCCCGACGGGTTATAAATGTTTTTTGAACTAGAACTTTTCATAAGAAAATTGTGTAGAAGTACACATGTCATTGTTAACTGCGTCACTTTTTCGGGCATCAATTCGATTGGCTTTTTGAAAAATCGGAATCTGGAAGTTAATATTCCAAAAGTATTTTCAGACAATACACGAGACCTTGACAATGTTTCATTGAAAATACGTTTGGGAGTATTCAATTTATGATCGCCAGGATATGGCTTCATTAAGTTCTCGCTTAATGCAAAAGCACCATCTCCCAAGAAAACATATGATAAATCGACGTTTAATCCGGGTAAGGGGCAAGGTGGAGGAAAATTCATCTTATTTTCACAAATATTTTTCCATAACACACTATTTCTAAGTATGCCGCCATCACTGATTCTTCCTTGGCTTCCAATGTCACAAAATATAAATCGATATTTACTGTCTACTACAGCTAGAAGAACAATACTAAAGGTTCTTTTGTAATTGTAATATTCTGATCCAGTGTGATCAGGACATTTGATTACAACATGTTTTCCGTCGATTGCTCCAATGGCGTAGGGAAAATTATCTCTAAATCCTTTTTCAATTTCTATCCACTCATCTGTAGTTGACGGCATCTGCAAAAAGATAAGAAATTACATTTATCGTTAATATTGTTAATATGTAATAAAATGTATTTATTTTTCAGATTTCTCTTGATAACGAAACCCTCGAGCCCACATCTCAAGAATCAGAATCAGAAATCAATGAAGTAGTGAATGTTGTACCCTCAGCTAAGTTTCAGCAAGCAGCACTTGTAGCCAAACCTCACCGACCAACACCCTTACCAATCTCTCAGCAAAGACATCGTCGTCACCAAGTTCCTACGGAATTGCTTCAAGCAGAAAGTGAAATGAAGGAAGCCTTCTCATGGGTGAAGAATGTTGTGTCCAGAAATGATGAAAAAGAAGACGAGTGCGATTTATACGGTAGAATGTTGGCGAAAAAACTACGAAAAATTCCGGAATTTCAAAGAGAATACTTGATGCATGATATTAACGAAATGGTCCTCAGGGCAATGCATCCATCTCATGGTTGTGTCGCCACGCCATCCTGTTCCAATGGACCACCTTCGAACTCATCGCTAATTTCCTTATCGTATTCTCGACCTACATCTGCAAACAGCAATAACTGTTCCTATGCTTCATCACAGGGTATCAACGAGCATGCCCAGGACCAAATGGAAGAACACATACAGGAATCTGATCCTATCAGCCAAGCACTGTATATGACCTTTGGAGGAAAAACAGACACCAACTCGAAAACTACTCATTTCAACATGTAGATGTAAACATTTTATAATAAAACTGTAGCTCTATAAATGCAAATGAATCTATTTACCTTAATTTCATCTTTCAAAGCCTCATTTAGTGCTGCACAGACCTCCGGAACAATCCGCGATATTATTTCACTTGAAACTTTAAATAAATAATGTAGGCTCTTGAAACTGTCGCCTGTGGCTAAATATCTCAAAGTAATTGCTAGCCGTATTTTTGGAGTTATTGCCTGTCTCATTGAAGTATCTTTTTTGGAAATCATTGGTGAGACTATATTTAAAAGATACTCAAAATCAGCTAGAGACATTCGAGTAAAATTTTCAAATTCACCACCAGGTTCCATTAACAATTCGCTCAACTGTCTGTCCATGTGTTCCCTATACGAAAATAAAAAATCAAATCAAACACAAAACACTTTATAAAATCTAATCAAATTACGTAATAATGTCAGTATATACCTATCTCGTTCTATTTCGATTGATTGATTTCACCCACCATCTTCTTTTCTTCCAAGGCTTCTTGATTTTTGAAGTTGATATAATATGCAAATATTTATAGTAACAATAAGCAGCATAGGCTACAGCTACACAAATTTCCACGTTCTTGGCCATCACTCGCACGAATCTACACAAGGAGCCGGTTCGATGTTTACTGCGAGAGTATACACGGTGTCCTCGGGCCTCGTGCCTCGGGGCGCCTCGCATCGGGGAGTCTCGCATTCGGATGGCTTCGACGAGCGTGTACTGCCAGCATAATATGTTACACAGCGAGCTTTCATGCAGTCAGTACGTAGTGTTACGGGAAAACCAGCGAGCAACGAGCCGCTCCTTGCTCGCTTTGAGTGCTCCACCCGGCTGTCGGTTTTTCGGCGAACCCTTTGAGTGTTACGCGGTTCGGTCAGTTCGCTGCAACAAGTCGGAGTGGAACAAAGAAAAAACTCTGCATTTCATCGAAAAATATAGAGAAGAATCGGTATTGTGGAATCCAGCTCATCCAGAGCACTACAACAAATTAAAAAAAGAAGACGCCTGGGATAGATTGGCTTTGTTAATGGAGAGCGAAATAAATACGTGTAAAACGAAAATGACAAGCTTACTGGCCTCATTGAGGAGGGAAAAAGGGAAAATAAAAAGATCAAGTGGTAAAGGAAAGGGTAGGTAATTATTTTTATATTTTTTAAGTTCCTATAATACAGTACGATTAGCCCCCAAATACTCAACCACGTTGTAAAGTTAAGTTGTATGTCAAATTATGCTGCCACGTGTCAGATTCAAAGACAAATCGAGGGCAGCATTAGTTTAAGAACAACATAAATAAAATATATATATATATATATATAGGTAGGTATGTTTTATATTCCAAAAATACCTTATTTTCAGGTGCTGAAGAAGTATACCATACTACTTCGTTTGCATACAAAACTATGATGTTTCTACTGGATAGAAATACACCTGTTGCCACAACAGATACGCTAAGTTTTATTTTAAGCATAATTTTCTTGCCAGGTGACAGACCCTTCTTGGATGCAATACTCAGCAGCTTCATTACAAATATTGTGAGCAGTTCTTGAAGCCCTTCGCGGTCTTATTTCCAAAGGTAACATACTCGCCATATCATTGTCACTTTCTCTCCAGTTTCCTAATCTGACTATCCCATTTGTTTCTTCGTCCAAGCTACCCGCAGGGGTATATACATGAGCGTTATTACCTTTTCTTAAATTGTGAAGTAGTGTTATTGCTGTTACAACAGATGTCGCGGTTTTTGGTTCTAACAAAGCACTAAAAACTGCAGATAATAAGCCGAACGCATTTTCCACCACTCTACGAGCTCTGCAAAGTCGGTAGTTGTATATTCTTTCTTTAGAACCACGTTCATGATATCCTGAATATACTTTCATCATATGTTCGGATAGAGCAAAAGCTTCATCTCCAACAAAGTGAAATGGAACTTCTTCCGTTCTTGCTGGCGAGGCAGTGGGCTCAGGAATGTTCAGTGCATTATTTTGTATCTTTTCGTTCAATTCACAGTTGTTGAAAATCCCTCAATCGGATATTATTCCTTGACATCCAATGTTTACGTACAAACAGTTATATTTTGCATCAACAACTGCCAATAATACAATGCTGAAGAAACCCTTGTAATTATAAAATTCACTTCCGCTGTTGATCGGTGCCTGCAGTATAATATGTTTTCCATCGATTGCGCCTAGGCAGTGTGTAAAATTCCACAAAGTATCATACTCATTTGCTACAGCCATCCATTGCTCCGGTGTTTCTGGCATCAGCGGTGGCCGCAGTAGTAGACTCTTCGGTCTCCTGATGAGCCGCCGTGCGCTGTGCGGGTTCGAGTCCCGTCCCAGGAGAAATTTTTCTCTTGGCTATGGATGTTGTGATTGTCCGTAGGTGGTAGACGGTCTCTGACTGTCGAACGCGGAGGTACCACCCGGCGGATCTCGTAGGCGGAGCCAGAATGTGTGCATGTTGCATGCACACGTGTCCGCTCGCCAGAGTCCGTGTGGCGTTCCCCCTTTCCCATGTACCCCCCTAAAGCCTCACGGTACCCAATGGGTGCTTAGGCCTTAGGCCTTCGTGGTAGTTGGAGTATAAAAAAAATCTGAAATAATGATTTACGTTTATTTTCAGCTACGCGCTGGTCCTTCAGAACGAAGCAGCACTCAGTGCCCTCCATCTGCCAAACCAAGCAACATTGATTTCCCTCTGCCTCCAAAAAGGAAGAAAGCAGTAGCCCCCAACCCGGAAGAGATAATGGCATCTACTTTAAATATTTTAAAAAGGAGGACCAAACAAACGGAGTCAACTTCACAAAAACTTGACGAATGTGAAGCCTATGGTATTTTGTTGGCAAATAAATTAAGATCTTATTCAAAGATAACAAGAACATATGTTCAGCATTACATATCAAATATATTGTTTAGTGCTGATCGCGGAGAGTATGAGTATGTTGGCGACTATAACTATAATTCTTCACAAGGATACTCTACACGACCAACAACTTCAAGAGCTCCATCGATGCCACAGCAAAGCCCTGACTGTGGGTCTCCAGCTTCGAGTGAACAATTTCTATCAAAATTTGCTGGTTTAATTTGATATGTAATGAATACTTTTTCTGGATTAATTAAAACAGTACGTACCTTTGCGTAATCTTTTAATACTCCAATCAAAGCTTCGCTGACCTCTTTCACTATAAATCCTATCCGTTGCTTTGAAATCTTGAAAAGATATTGCATACTAGTATAGGAATCTCCTGTAGCATAAAAACGCAGTGTTAGTGCCAATCTTTCCGTGACACTGATTGCTTTTCTATAATGTGTATCCTTTTTATGTACTTTTGGTCCAATTAAATTCACGTGTATACTGTCCACTAATCATTTGGTTTTTTAATATTGCTATCAATGACAAACCACCCGATACGTGTCTGTTTTTGAACAAGTCTGAGGTCCAATAACGTTTATTCTTCTTCTTAATTTGGATTAAACAATAATTTAGCAGAATCAAAGATCCCAACACAACCTCCTCAGACATCTTGGCTGAGACTGTGCGAATATGGAGCACATATTTTAAACGAGCATGTTACACCGATTTCGAACACAATGCGTACATACGCGATGCAAACATATTCGGTGCGAATATTACATTACACCTCGTAGCGTCGTTCAGTACCCACCTTAACATGCGCATATCAAAACTTTATTGCTATAGGAATGTGCCAATTTTGGCTTTGCAAGCCATTAACACATCGAATGGTTTCTGATACACCAGGATTAGTTATATTTTTTTCTATAACTATATATAGCCACTATAACACTGTGTTCAGTCTTCAACAGGTATAACACTAGCGTCCATTGCTATTTTGGCTGTTGATGCATTTTGGTAAATAATTTTGATTGTCGATCTTCTGGAATAACTTGAGACTTTGTATTTCACATGATACTCAGGCATTTAATTTTTTGTTTATACCTTGCTAAATGGTTTATTAGTTTTAAGTTTTTGACTTTTAACGAGTGTCATTTGCACTGATCTTATCTCGTTTCCTCTCTATTCGTCATTGTCCATCAGAGCGGTTCGTGGGACCTTCGCTCTTTATTAAAATATCGTAGGTCAGTAGGTTTGTCAGGTCTGGTTGCCCAGATACCAGACGAAGTCAGAGAGAAAGAAAGGAAGAGGAAAGAAAGGAAGGATGAGGGAATAGCAAAGAGGGAGGAGTGCGCCAGTTTAAGGAGTGAGTTGCTACTGCTAACTAGTATTCGGTTATTTTAAATTGATCCAAAAATTAATTTAGAAATTTGTATGGTTCGCAAGGTTATGTTTTGCAAAACCTACAGATTATGCATCTGCGTTTTGGCGAGAAAACACCATGCTGCACATGCTTAAGTGATTGCTGGTCTGATCTCATTTCCTATTAGTGGTTAAGAATTATGAGTATTTGGGCAGTTAAACGTATTTTTAGCAAAGTATACTTCATATATATTTTGGGTATTATTCTATAGATTTATTACCTTGACTATCAAAATAAGTATCGAGCGTCTAACTAAAGATGAACTTGAATAAGAGATTCAGATTAGACTCGTCTCGGAATCAGGTACGGTTGATGAATTAAAAAAACGTCTCATTACCTTGATTCTTTTAGGAAAAACTGTTGGTAGGGAACATAACTTTACTATAGAGGATGAATTGGTTGAACGTGATAAAAAATATATTGAGTCAAAAAATTTAATTTTCTCTTAGTCTGGAGCAGGCATATCTGAACCCAGAATTGAAACTAACTTCGCTGATTTAACTGCTAGAATAGATAGAAGCAGTTCAAACCTCCAAAGAAAGGTGGATTATCTCTGTAACCTGATCTTGACTATAGACCAAAACGTAATTTTTGAATGAAATTGGGATCAATAATCGTAATAGTATCCCCCAGTTACTAGTAATATCAAAAATAATAGTAGAAATCTATGCTTTAAATGTTGTTAACCGAGTCATTTTGCACGGTTTTGTAGATCTGGGGTTTTAAAATGCTATGGTTGTGGCAAGAATTATTTTACCATAAATACTTGCCCCGATTGTTGTAATAGCATTACTTCTAAAAATTCTAGCAACAATCATGACAACAAAAGTAATACAGGTACTAAGAATAAGGGTAAAAAGTCGGGAAACGGTCAGAGGAGTTAAATTTTGGTCGTGATTCTGCTCCTCTAGCGAATACGACCACCAGTAAGCTAGATGAAAAAAAAGAAAGATGTGCTTGACTATGTTAGTCCAGGTGAATGTCCATTTTTGAAGGGTAATACTTTGAGTATAGAATTTTTGGTATTCTTAGATTCAGGGGCTAATAAGGTTTTTGTATGTAGCAAAGGTTGAAATAAATTGAAAGATTTGAATTTTAGGATTCAATCAAATAGAAAAGCCTCTTGCATAGTCGCTAACAATGACTCACGTTATT